AACACATAAATATTATAACAGAAAATACCCACTCCGCATTATTAAATCTAAAAAACTGGGAAAACTTCCAAAAAATACACCCAGAGGAACTAATACCTTTCACTAACACGACTCTCAATAGCAAAATAACAAGACCTTTTTCTCTCCATCTGGCAACACCGTTCTACCCTTGAGCACAGCCGAGCGACCGAAGGAAAAATCAATCTTACATAAGCCAGGGGGGGGCAGAGAGAAAGAGAGAGAAGAGAACGAGAGAAAGAGAGAGGAGAAGAAAAAGTAAGAGAGAAGAGAAAAGTACTAGACGAGAGAGAGAAGAAGAGAGAAGAGAGACGGATAGAGAGAGAGAGAGAGAAGGGAGGAAGAGAGAGAGAGAGAAGAGATCGGAGAGAGACCGACAAGAAAGAGAGAAAGAAGAGGAAGCAGAAGAGACAGAGAGGAGAGAGAGAGAGAGAGAGAGAGAGAGAGAGAAGAGAAGGAGATGACGAGAGAGAGAGAGAAGAGAAGAGAGAGAAGAGAGAGAGGAGACAGAGAGAGAGAAGAGAGAAGAAAGGAGAAGACGAGGAGAATCAGAGAGAGAGAGAGAGAGGAGAAGAAGACGAGAGAGAGACGAGAAGAGAGATTAGAACGAGAGAAAAGAGAGAGACTAAGAGAGAAAAGATGAGAGAAAAGAGAGAGAGGAGAGAAGAGAGAAGAGAGAGGAGAAGAGAAGAGAGAGAGAGAGAGGAAGACGAGAAGACTGAGGATGTCGAAAAATCCGAGATGAGAGAGAGAGAGATACATATAAACCCCATTATATCGACCCCGCAGGCTTATCACATTGGAAATAGCAAGAGACAAAGGGAAGGAGAGTTAAGATGTTGCAAGAGGATCCAGGAGGAGGGAAAGAGAAATCGAAGGAGGCGAAAGAGCTGACAGAGAAGAAGAAGGATGGCATTACCCTCGTAAGCTGGAGAATCTCCTTTGCTATTACTTTACCGCAGTCTAGTGAGTAGGAGAGAGGCAGAGGAAGGGGGGGATCGGAGAAGGAGATGAGATGGGAGGAGAGGAGTAAGAAGTGCATGAGGAGCGGAGAGGAGGAGGAGTGACGAAGAGAGAGAGACAGAGGAGGAGGAAGGAGGTGAGGAGGGAGCTTGTAGGGAACGAGCAGGTAAGAGAAACCATAGAGCGAGGGAGGAGAGGAAGAGGAAGAGAGCTGGAGGAAAAATTCAATGAGAGGAAAGGAACCAGTGTGCAATACCAAAATGAGGGAAAAAAGGAGAAGGGAGAGCAAAATCAGAAACCTAAAACAAAAAAAAGTTGGAGAGAAATAATATTAAGGAAGAAAACTAATGACGACAGATAAACGAAAAAAAAAAACAATAACAAAAACAAAAAATAGAAATAATACAAAACAATTGAAAAACAAAAATTAACAACTTCCAAACCCACATACACAACCCCCCCCTACCAACCAGCCCACCTCCCAAAAAGCAAAAAAAGAAAAAGAAAAAAAACTAAAAACGTTTCACAACAATTCGGGGGGGAAAAAAGTGCGTTCCCGGGAGCCATCCACGAACACTTACACACTTACAAAGTCTTGCAATTCGCCTTTATGGTCTGGAGGCTATAATGTATTTCGACTTAATTCGACCCAGACCAAAACACGCGTTTTCGGGAGCATAATGTGAAAGAAAGCCAAATGCGCCGGCAGGAGATGAGGAGGAGGAGGAGGGAAGGTGGGGTGGAGGAGGAAGGGCGTGGTAAGGGGAGGGAGAAGGAAGAAGGGGAGGTGATTGGAGAGAGAAGAGGTAGGAGAAGTTGTGAGTGGATTGGAGAGAGAAGATGAGGAGGATGGGAGGAGGCAAAGAGGAGGAGAGGGAGGAGGAAATGAGGAGCAAAGGCGAGGGGGAGAGGGGAGAGGAAGGGGAGGGTAAGGGGAGAAGAGGAGGAAATATGAGGGCGAGGAGGGAAGAAAGGGGGCAAAGAGGAGGATAAAGAGGAAGGGAGAAGCAGGAGGAGGGGGAGGAAGGCAAGGAGGAGAGGAACAGAAGGTAAAGGGATGGCCGGTAGGAAGAATGTAGGAGAAGGAGGGAGGAGGAGGGAGGAAGAGGTAGGAGGGTAGAGGTAAGGGGAGGGAAGGTGGAGTTGGAGGAAAGGCGAGGGTAAAGAGGAATGGAAAAGGAGTTGGAGATGGAGAAGAGAAGGAAGGGAGAGGGGAGGAAGAGAAGGAAGAGGCGATGAGGTCGATGGAGCTGGGGCTGAGGGGATGGGAAGCTCTGGAGCTGCTTAGCTCGGGAGGGCGAAGGGGGGGGGAGGGCGTCTGACGGCCTGGCCTGGAGCAATGACTTCGCGGTAGAGAATGAATGACTAGGATTTCCGTGTCAGCAAAAGAACACCACACACACACACACACACACACACACCACACACACACACCACACAAAGCGCACGCACACACAGAAAGAGATGGAGAGGAATAAATACACACACAACAGACATTACACCAACATACACACACTACCAACACACACACACACACACACACACACACACACACACACACACACACACAATACACAACAACAATAAACAAAATAAATTCAATCCACATTATAGTCCATGAATAAACATTTTCGACGAAGGCAAAACATAAAAAACGCTTTTAAACAAAGCTTGTATCATTTTCGCTCAAAAAAAACATGTTTCGCAAACTAAAACAAACTTAAACTGCGCCAAACAAACTTAACAAATAAAAATAAACTCGTTTAACATATATAATTACACATCAGAGAAGAGAAACTTTATTAATTAAATTTTGTTAACGGAAAAAAAAATCAAATTGAACTTCAAAGGTTTCGTAATTCCCCTTTGCTGTTATAATTACGTTAAACTCTACGGGCAGACAAAAAAGAAGTTAAATTCCTCTATTAACAAAAAAAAAAAAGAAAAAAAAAAAAAAAAAAAAAAGTAAGACATTGTGCATTAATTAATCTAAATTAATATTCCACGGAAGCTACGCTCTTGCTAACTTCATTCTCAAATACGCAATTATAATCTAAAAAGTAATAATACCAAAATAAATATATGAATAAATAGAAAATAGAAAATCTAAATGTACAGACAAAGTGAGAAAGGATGACCAAATGATGATGATAATGATGATGATGATGACTGATCGTCGACTATACTAATGGTGATGATGATAGCGATATAATGATAAAATAGTCATAATAAGTAATGAGCAATAATAATAATA